TCAGGGTTGTTAACGTTACCTGTTAAGATATAACATGCATGTTATTGAGGAATTAAGACCATTTTTAGCAAATACTCGTATTGCAATTTTGTTGTTTTTTGAAGACGCTTTTGTGTCGACATTTTTAATAATAATTATGCAAAATTATTATAAACAAGAGTCAGTATTAGACAAAAACACATATAACTGACAGATGTCTTTTAGGTTATGAAACATGAAACAAATGCAAACTCGTAAATAACGGGTAAGTACGACATAAAATAGTTTGTAACACGTTATCTTAAATTATAACAGAGTTTCTTAAAGGCAAGGAATTTGGTGTTGCTATAGTTTAACGTACGTGTTATTTGTCTAATGAAAATGAACGGCTTGTTAAATTTACATTTACTTGCCGGTTTTATAAACGCACATCGAAGGTAAGTTGTAAAATTTAAGTAACTTAGGTAAGTATTTACCCTAAAATTATTGTTAGGTTAAATCAAACGAAGAAGGATCTAACAAGGAAACTACCCCAACCCGAACTCTCCGATTTCCAATATTTTTATATATGTTGTAGACTCGGTTGTAGAACATAAAAAATTAAATGACATATTTTTTTTATCGGCGGAAAAACATATTTAGGGGGTGAAATACATCCTCAAAGTTCACCCCCCAAAACAGTTTTTTCTAAATATCTGGGGTTCTAATCAATATTTTGGAATGAAAAAAAATGTAAATTGCTTCTTATAAAAAAACAAATGTTTCACATTAGATTCCGTGTTTGGAGGCTGCTACCCTTATTTTTTATTTCAGAAAAACTATATTTTTCAAACATTTTTTATATATAAAAAAATTCATATTAAAAAAAATAAAAAATATGATTTATGTAAACAAATTGACAAAATAAAGTTCTCTTTTTAGGGGGTGAACAACCCTCTAGTGTGCTAAAAATGTCTGTACGATTAGAATTAACATTGCAAAATAAAAAGTTTTTACTTTTTCTCTAATCATACGAATAATTTGTTCTATTAGCCGCAAACAGATTTAAACGGATGCAAACTACCCCTCATGTTCACCCCCAAAATATTTCTGTGACATCTCAATATTTTGAAATGAAATAAAATGGAAATTACTTCTTTTAAAAAAATAAAATGTTTCACAAGTGATTTCGTGTTTGGGGGTTGCAACCCTTATTTTTTATTTCAGGAAAACAAAGTATATTTTCAAACATTTTTTATATATAAAAAATTCATATTGATTCAAAATATTAAAAATAAATATGATTTATGTAAACAAATTGACAAAAATAATTTCTCATTTTAGGGGGCGAACAACCCCCTAGTAATCCCCTAGTGTGCGAAAAATGTTTTAACTTTTTCTCTAATCATACGAATAATTTTTTCTCTTGGTCTAAAACGGATTTAAACAGATGCAAACTACCCCTGATGTTCACCCCCAAAAACAGTATATCCGTGATATCTCGGATTCTAATAAATATTTTGGAATGAAACAAAATGGAAATTACTGAACCCGTTTATTGGGGGATGAACAGCAGGGGTAGTTGATGAACAGCAGGGGTAGTTTGCATCAGTTTAAATCCGTTTTAGACCAATAGAAAAAATTATTCGTATGATTAGAGAAAAAGTAAAAACTTTTTATTTTAAAATGTTAATTCTAGTCAGCACAGAAATTTTTCGCACACTAGGGGGTTGTTCACCCCTTAAAAAGAGAACTTAATTTTGTCAATTTATTTACATAAATCATATTTTTAATTTTTTTTAACAAATATGAATTTTTTATATACCTATAAAAATTGTTTGAAAAATATAGTCTGAAATAAAAAATAAGGGTAGCAACCCCCAAACACGAAAACACTAATGAAACAACTGGTTTTTTATAAGAAGTAATTTTGCATTTTGATTCGTTCCAAAATATTGATGAGAACCCCAGATATTTAGAAAAATCTGTTTTGAGCAGGGGCGAACTTTGAAGATGTATTTCACCCCTAAACATGTTTTTCCGCCGATAAAAAAAAATACGTCTTTTAATTTTTTTTTGTTTTGTGTGGTTTTTCCCCAAATTCATGCTCAATAAATTAACTTTAGTAGCAAACTGTTGTCATAAAGCATTAATAAGTTTTAATTGTGATGGTTTTGTTCTGCCGGTAGTCGTAGTCTGTTGTTATGAAACATGAAACAAATACCTACAACGTAGAGCGCAAACTCGTAAATAACGGGTACGTACAACATAAAATAGCGGCCGTGTTCCGTTTCATTTCATTACAATTAAATAACATGTCTGTTTGACGGATACTTATGTTATTACGGCATGTTATTTACAAATGTTATTTCTAACATAACATTTTAACGTAAATGGGATACATACTCGGCCTGATTGTCAGTTAATCCACCCTTATATCTGTCAGCAGCAACGTCAAAAGTGATAACAATCTCCAAAGGAGGGTGATATTGGTCAATTGCAACGAGAAATGTATTAGAGTGAGAAACTTTTGCCTCAGTTAAATTAGTCATCACCAAGTCAAGCAAGTTGTTCACCCGATTTAGTACGTTGTTGACAATATACAGATCATATGTACATTGGACTGTTTGAATAATTTTGGCCTTGTAAGAACCGTTGCAACAGTCATAGCACATATCGTTTATTTCAGGCACATTAAAATCACCCAAGATGAACAGATTCTCTGAATACAGCTCATTAATGACTACCAAGGAATCTAAAAACGTTTCATACACTGTTAGATTATAGCTGGGTTTAATATAAACACAACAAATTGTCGCTGTAAAATCATTAGTCGTCAGTTTAATGGCTATCCACTGAAAGTTTATATCATTACTCTGACACACTGATAGCACTTTAAATTTTTTCTTAATGCAACATCTTGTCATTTCTGAACACCATATATCTGCCATCACAAAGTTCTTGGTCATAGATTGAAGCATTGAGCCAGGTTTCAGTAATACATATAATGTCAAAGTTGTTAGATAGTATGTTTTCATAGAAAGTTTTTACTTTAGACCTTAATCCTCGCACATTTTGATAGAAAATAGTGACATACTTTAGGTTTTTTTTACTATTTGTAATTTCTGCTTCACTATAGTCCGTACCGCCGCTTATAAAAAATCCTCAGCACCTAGAGTTACAGTCTGCTTATTCTGAATATTGGCACTCGGAGCTTCTTTATTTATTAATTTCCGACTAAAATTAAAACGCCTTATTATTATACCTTCTGGCCAATAATTTTCCTGATTTAACTTTTTTAATAAGTGAAATGGTGAAAGTTGCTTTTAATCCTTAAATTGAAAGTGTTAATCAAGTTTTAATTTATAAAAGTGTATTTAACAATATTTACAATAATTTTTGTTTATCCACATTGATATTAAATACACAGATTGAACAAGTATTAAAATTAAATAAACCACTGAAACTGCCACTGCCCTCATACTTGGAGCACTTCTCGAAGCAGTCCAACACGTTTTTATTAATAGTTATATTATTTTCAGAAGTTGTGAAATCAGAAGTGACAACAGTGCTTGGTTTATTATTACCACTATCAACTTTCAGTATTCTTTTTGCAACATTTTCTTTATTCAATTTACCTCAATGTAGCCTTCCGCCGCAGTGCTCGATCTCCATCCCCTGTGTCTTTTAAGACAAGTGAGATCATCACCGCCGTCAACTTAAAGGGTAGTAGACGTTCGTCATAATACGTGGCCACTGTACTCTTTCCAGTTGTCCAGCTTCTAAAATTTTACCACTTCTTGCGAGACGGCACTGATTTTATAAATATCGACCACCATTCGATGACACTTTCCACTAACATATCTGAGAAATGATCAACGTTCTGCCAATCTGTGTGGATGTAAAGCAACATATTTTTGATAAAAACTTAAATAATTTTCTCCCAGCGCAGTAAAATAACATGGTCTCTTGGTTTTGGTATTTTTATAATTAAGGCGGATTTCACATCTTCAACATTATCAATTATTAAATTGGCAGAATGGTATGCGCCTGCAATCCCCAATATTAAGACGACCTATAAAGAAGCTTTTTAAACGTTTTGTTCTTTTATTTTTAAAACGTTTACCTTCATCATCAAATAAAAATTATCAGGTGCACAATTCAAAAAGCAATCAACTTGCTCCTTTGTAAATACTCGCGATTTTTTCAGTACATTTACCTCATTCTGTCTTGAGAAAGGCACATAACTTTGAATATTTGCTTATATCAATCCCCTTCTTTATATCCAACGTTGACCGCAACATTGAATATTGTGACCAAAGCGTTGACGGCTTTGCTCAGTTTGAGAAATACACCATCAGTACATTTTTTGAATACAACTTAATGTTTTGTTCTTTGCACCAATCCATAAAAGGTTGATAGACACATTAATAAATTTCTCGAGATTTCTTTGGGAGAGGATTCAAAGATACACACACACTCCCCAGTATCTTCTCAGATAGACCTAAATCTTCATTAGATTCCATTTTTACAGAGTTTTCAGCAAATTTAACCACAAACAATCACAAATGAACTCAATTTGCAATATGGCAACTAATGTTTGACAAAGTATCCATAATATATCCTACTTACCTACTTTGCTTTATTATCCAATTTTGGTTTCAATAATTTTATAGTACAAATTAATAATTAAATGGCGGATTTCGGTTAGAGAAAAAATAGCATGTTTTATTCGGATTAAAAGTGTTTTTGTTTTGTCTCGCAACAACAGTAACACTTTTAATCCTAATATAGCAATATATTATTAAATTTTGTTTTTTTTAAATCTATGTTAAAATACATATTAGAGATCTGGTTAGAATTGTTGTTGATGTTTATTAGATGTAATCTATGCAAATAACTGTTAGCAGTTACCTTTGTAAGCCTAAAATTGTACATTTGCTCACCTTTCCGATGTACCTACACTTCCAAGTACATACTTCGCTCGTACGTCTTTGTTGTTGAATAAAAGTTGAATGCATAAATTAAGCTTTCTTTTTCAGTAAAACAATTCCAAAGTGAAATGACACCCGCAGAAAAAGAAACAATGTACAAAGCCATCGGCTATCAAGAGAACGCCGCCCCAACTACGATTCCCAAAACTTTCATTGCATATTCCGGTGCTTTTATACTAAGGAACCTCGAGATAGAATTAAGAGATGACGACCAGCAAATTAAGAGAGTCCTCTTCTGTAATTTAAGCGGCGTGGGGATAAAATTGGAGCACAGACCAGCGGCAAATGCTATCAAGTAAGAAAGAACGTTTATATGCTGAATCATACTTAAATAATGATAATTTTTTTAGGGCAGATGTAAAGATAGACAACTTCACAATTGAGGGTCTTCAGCAAGATAATTTTATACCACAATTAATTACCTCTGAAATCGACAGCAAAGGTGGCCTTTTAGAAATTGCCTTCGAGACAAATCCATTGGATGAAATATGTGATCAGAAGATCCGCCTCGTTGCGAACCCTGTAAAAATATTTTATGATGCCATGACTATTAACAAGGTCATCGATATTTTCAAAGTACCTTCCGACACTGTCGCGGACCAGTAAGTATAATTGTTTTCATATGATTAGTGTTTGACACTTTTTTTTCCTCTCGACACGACACTTTTTTTTATCTAAATAATTATGCTTTGACATATGAATTAATGAATATATTGCCAATTGGTACTTACAATTTCAGGATACAGGCAGCCGCTGGCAGTGGCCTCTCGAACGTGAAGCAAATGACCTCTACCGGTCTACAATTTACCATAGAAAAACGCAATCGTCTAGATCTATACGTAGACCTGCAAGCGCCTTATGTAATAATCCCGCACGGGGGCAAATATACCGGTGTAGAAAACGTCTTAGTAGCTAATTTGGGTCGCCTCAAGATGTTGTCTTCCGGCCAACGCACTAACATCAACATCGTGAAGCAGATGTACCAGCAGGGCCTGGGACACGAGGACATATTCTTGCGTCTAAAGGAGCACTGCTATGACTCTTTCGTACTTGAATTGACGGACTTGCAGATTTTGATAGCGCAAGGCGATGAGGACTGGAGGACTGCCGTTAAGGAATCGGAGCATTCCGCCATGCACTTGCTCAGTCCGCTGACGTTGTCCGTTACCTATTCTAAGTGTTTAATCATGGACGATCCCAGATTTCCACAGAACAAGATAACCGGTGAATTGCCCTCCATCGATGTTAGGGTTTCCGAGGCTAGATTCTTGCTATTGGTGGCCTTGGGAACGAGCATTCCTTTGCCTGAAAGCGATGTACCAGAACCGCAACCGTTGTCGGTAAGTTACATTTTAACTTCGGTAACCCAAATATGTGTTAAATGCCTTATTATCCTCTTCACTTTTCCGTAGATCTTGTAGATTTTTTAACATACATAATACACAAATCAAAACTTTTCATATTTGCACTCTATAGATTTTCACGTTGAAATTACATGCAAGTGAAAATTAGTTTAGGAAAAACCAGAGAAATCTTACACTCAAGTACTTGTATAACATTTTCTGCCATCCGCTGATATTCTGATTATGTACACATTCCGGCTATTAAGTTTTAAGACTGATTTTATTGTGACGAAGTGCACGGCACTATCTATATGCAGTCAACGGAACTACGTAGTATGAAGCCTCCTCAGCGACTGTACAAAATTTCATAAGTATTTATGGGACATTTCACCTCAAACCGATCACCCTACCTACACAAAAATTGATTTGACCTATTTAGACGTATAAAGTCTTAAAATGTTCCTCTATTGAGAGGCTTCCAAAAGAAAAGTGGCGTTTTGTGAAGTTCAATATGGTGGATCAAATATGGCGCGTAAATTCACTCGTCATGGTAAATTTAGGAAAAAACCTTATTAAAATTTTCAAAACGGGAAATATATCCCCACTGCATATATTAGACTGTTTTTTGGTCCGCTGATTACGGGTCTATCATCGGAAATAGGAAATTCAAAATGGCGGATCCACTATGACACATAAAACCCATATAATAGTAACATAATGATTTCAGCATACTAGAAGGTTAGAATCTGGGGGCTTTTGGGTTCTCTGATAACAAATTTGCCATCGGAGTTTTGAAATTCAAAATGGCGGAACCAATATGGCGAAAGGAGAACCCCAACTATCTTTCTTTGCGTCAAAAAATGATTTCACATGAACTAATGAGTCTGGAGGTTGCCATTAGATTTTCAAAATTCAAAATGGCGGATTCAAAGTGGCAGACATGTTTTATTTTCTGACCTCAGTCTTAAAACTTAATGGCTGCACTGTGTATATTAGTTATTAATGTTCTGCTATCTTTTTAATTTAATTTTCCATGCATTTACAATCTGTTCTACAAGAGCATATGGACTGATACATTAGCAATAAATTATTTTTCAACCGTTTAGAACAATCATTATGTTAAAATGCATTTGTTCTAGTATGTTATCCAATCGCCTGTCAATTATAGCTTGACAGCGTCAAGGCATGCTTTTTGACAAACTATTGGCGAATATGTCAGGTAAAGATCTCCAAGTCTCCCGAATATGTCTAATCAATTTCTTTAGTTTCCCCTGAGCTTTAATTTCATCGAATTCAATTGGATTGACATCTGGAGACTGAGAAGGTCAATCTATTGAAACAATGGCATTTTCGCGTTTCCAGTCTGCGCATAAGCGACTCCGATATTTGGAATTGTTATCCTATTGAAGCACCCAATTTGGACCAAACCATCTTCGAGCAACCTTTGATAGAGATTTCTCATATATTTTGACCATTATTTTGGGCATCCAAATTGTCCGTGAACACGTAAAATCCTTTTACACAGAAGCGACCCCAAACATTCACTTTCATTGGCAGGCAAATGCTGCAGACTTCTGCATGTACCGAGCGGCAGCAGCAAATGACATTTTCGGTTGTTTTGAATGGGTGCACAAAAACATGCCAAACTGAAATATCCTCTCAGCATGAAATACAAAGAATGTGCACACACTTGAGTAACAGACTGTAAGTATCTTCTCCTTGGCAAAATATAATGATACAATTTGTTACATTGTAGCAGTGAACAATGTGTTTTTGATTTGTTGCTGAAAAATAATCAAATACAGAACTAAATAGTTTGTCTTCGGGAGTTATTTTCAATTAACCCCTTTGTTCTTACGAATTCTAAACCAAAAATGTGATGTTAACTTTCATAGTGCCACCATTCTATTTTTAAGAATTTTGTAGCACAACCATTAATTAGCATAAAAATTATTTATTTCATACCAGTTGGTATGTGCTGTAAGGCAGAAATCACCAGTTCAATTCCAAATTATAATAAATAACTAAAAAAAGTTATATTTTTTTAATGTATTTATATTGTTAATTTTAATTGCCAGTGTTGCGAGAAACAACTACTCCGAGGGAGATATGCCTCTACCGGCATTGAATTATACTTGCAACACCTAGTGCAACAGCTAGGATCGTTCGTCAGTTTAACCCACCAGGCACAGACCGGTTTCGGACTTATTAGTCATCATCAGTGTATCATAGATGAGACAACCGACGAACGATCCAGCTGTTTTGCGTCGTATCGTCACGACAAGGAAATAGTTTGTACGCGGGAGATAATCTGAACTCGCTGTTGCGGTAGTTGCGATTTTGTTTTTTTTTTTAATTTTTTTTTTGTATGTAGAAATCGAAGAAAAGCTCCAGTATGATGTTACTGAAATATAAAGAGTTACAACAAAGTGCAAAACAGACAAAGGATTTATTGCCCGCACAAAGTGCAGAATCAGATAAGGAATTTGTCCAATTTACAACAATGGAAGCCAAATTTGTAATGGCAGGTATGTATAGACATTATTAATTCATCATTATACAGGATGTTTCAGAATTATTTGGTAACACTTAAGATTTGAATTCCGACACTCGAAAAGAGAAAAAATATGTCTGGAAATTCTAGCTTTGTGAAATTTTTAAGAAAAATCTATCGAATTTTTATTTAAATATGGCGTAAGGTCTTGAACCATCTTGTAACATTCTCATACAGACCTTTTTTGTCAATTTAACTACAAATTTATATTTTAAGTATATACAATTAATTCTGAAACGTCCTATAGAACTTTAGTAGTAATCACCCTTTCCTCCGCACAAAATGGAAAATAAAATTTCCTGGAATATCGGCAACAACATTGAAGTTTCAAATTTCGTTACAGAAATGTCTGTTGTCATCAACCAGCAGTCTGCAATTGGCTCCCAAATATCTGAGTTGGCTTCGTTTAAGGTTAAGAACTTGGAGTGTTCTTTGGGTCAGCAAACGTTTGTTACAAACGTACAACTAGTGTTGTCCAGTATCAGTTTGGAACAAAATCGTTCTGGAGAAATAATCAGCATTATTAGTACCCCCCGTACGGGTAAAGGTAGTGAGTACCTGTTCAAGGTTGAATTTACCCAGGTTGGTTGTTGTGTATATTATAGCTTTTTTTTAAATGAAATATTGGTAATTATATAGGGTGTTTCTGAAATAAGCACGTTCCTTAAAAAGGGTGATAGGGAGCACGGAAATTAGCTACTTTTATTAAGTAACTGCTAGTCTAAAGACTTGTTTTCGAGAAAATTAACCATAAATGTAAACCAATCCTGTGCATCTTGTGCACATGGTTGTGTGTTGTAGTATTACTCGCAACATTGACCGAGAAGTAGGTGTACCATTTCATATACAAAGGGTTCATGCATTAAATAATGATCTTCAGTCTCGTGTGGAATTTTGTCAGTAGGCACCAATTAGGATAAAATCCGGATTTTACAAGGAAGGTGCTTTTTACAGATGAATGTTGTTTTACTGGAGACTGTATACTAAATTTTCACAACATTCACAATCTGTGTGATGCAAATCCTCACGTTGTACAGAGGTCTCGGTTCCAGCAACGGCTTTCAGTGAATGTGTGTGCTGGGCTGGTGGGGCATTTTTGGTGACAGAATTTTGACCATCGTTTGAAAGCATGTTTATTAGCACATGGAAACAACTCTGAACAAATTTTGTAAGTAATTCGTTTAATCGTTTAATTTTTGTGTTACTTATAAACGAGATTTGAATAAATTTCAGCAACAAAATTTAACCCGTCGAAATCGCCATCAACGCTTCCGCACTATAGTACGCAGCGATATCAAAGGTACAGCTGGCTGCCGCACCAGGAACGGCTTTAAATTTGTTTAAATCTTCATGTGAGATTTTTTTTTTCTATTTAAAACGTAATGTTTTAGACCAACAGTTGCTTAAGAAAAGTTGTTTATTGTCGTGCGCTTGATCATCCTTTTCAAGGAATGCATTTATTTCAGAAATACCCTGTATAGAAAAACAGCCTTGGATCTCGATAATTTCTATAAATACCCTCTAATTTTCACATTCTGAATACAAATGTGTTATTGTTTTGATGTGATCGAATACTGTTTTAAAAAAAAAGAATGTAAAATAGGTCAATTTAAATTTCTTTCCTCCTACATGTCTCATTTTTTATACTGTCATCAACATATCTGGATTTTGCGCTCGAATTCCCTGCTAAACATTGTTTATCTGTTAAATTCACTTGTTTTCCAGTTTTAAAAGTATACCGGAGTATCTAAAATATTAAAACGTCACGTTTTCCCACTTGCACGCATTTGACATGGAAGGAAACACCCAAGTTGGAACTCTAGTATAACCTAATTTTTTGCCAGACATGATCGAGATTCTAATACTCTTAATTTTTGATACATAGCCATGATTTTTATCTGAATGCAAATATACCATTGTTCTTTATTGTTACATAATTAAAATATGGATTAATCTTTTTTGGGAAGAAATTTTATGTTATCTTATTTTTCTTTAGTCTTAGTTTCATTCAGCAACATAACTCCACGTTGGGCGCCATGTCGCGGATTCCTATTAGTCTCTGTCTCTTCCAGGATTAAAGCCCCCGCTTGATCGCCTGGTTGGGCTGCGAGATAAGTTGGTTGCCGATCCCCGGTGGCGGTCCCACGTTGGGCGCCACGACACGGATGCGCCTCGTCCTGGTTCGATCCCGGCTGTTGAGACCTACTAGATTTCCCCCTAGCATCATCAACGGGAAGGATCGTAGTGTCCAGGGTCTCTCTTCACCTCCAGTGCCAGTGTGTTACATGCCTGTTGGGGGGCTGGAGAGTTCCCTGGCATATCATTCCTCTCCCTCGTAATGTACGGCTCTGCGGCCATTATCGAGAGAAAGTGATATTTCTGATCCTCCGCCATCGTTCTGAGTTCATTTATTTGAATGCTGTGTGAGAGAACAGAATGCTATGAATACAAATTTTTTTAGAACGGCGAGTGCCAGACTCTCACCAGGTACTACACCCTGGCCGATAAACTGCAATTGTCAGAAGTGCACCTTCAATTGCCGGCAGGGTGCATCTCGGTAGAACCGGCTGCTGCAAGGTCTGATTCAGCGACACCTCATTTTAGTTCGCGACATTTGCATCTTTGCCTGGTCTGGTCGCTCAGTAGTAGTTGGTTATCTGAAACTAGACAAATTTAATTCCGACTCGGAGGTCTTGCGGGAGACGGTTTTGGTGTCGATCCATCCTCTTGAAAATTTCAAAAGTAGGGTGGAAAATGTTTTATTTCCCTCATCTCTCGTCGGCGGTCTCAGGGAAGCTTTAGCATAGAACGTGGATATCGTTGATGACGCAGGAGTGGCTATGCCTGCTCGATGTCGTCCTGATGGCTCGACGGTAGAAATTTGGAAAGGTTGCTGAATTTATCGGAAAGATCGGTGATTTTTTCAATTGTCATCTAGTGACATTTCGATGGCGCGGCGGTTGTCTGGGTGTCTTCAGATGTTGTGTAGAACGGCTTTTGGCTTGGTAGGAGACCGTTTGTAGCGTTTGGAGAGCTTCGAGTAGAATTTTGGAACATCCATGAATTTTGGAAAGTTTGTCCAACATTCTTTTACGACTTGCAGAGCTGCTTAGGGGTGTTGTTGTAGTCTGCCTTAATCTAATAATAATACATTCGTATGAGAAATATGGGTTTCAAGCGTTTTGATAGCTGGCTTCGAAACATCGGTGAATTTTGAAGTTTGCTTGCCTTATGTTCTACGACAAGTGCCTCAAACCAACTTCAAATCCATCTTTAGTTTGTTAAAATTAACGATTTTTTCCTGATATGTAATCTTTAATTTTGCAGTTTTATTGAAAACAGTATTTAACCGTCACTAAACAACTCCAGATTCACATCCTGTTAGTCTAAATTGGGGTTTCGAAAAAAAATTGTTAAGATCCAAAGCTATCTTTTTCTATATAATCTTTTACATTTTATATAATTTTTTAAAAGTACAAATTACATTCTGAAACAGCAATAAATGGTAAATAATTTACCTTTTAGATCGATACAAATTCTCCCGAACTACATTCTAAATACCAATCATGCGAAACGAGCTTGATCCTAGATTTTGGAGTTCTGAATATTACACTCCACCAAGAAGGCCTTCTGTCTCTGATCGAATTTAAGACGTTGCTCCTAGATCAGATCTCCCACCTAACAGACGATCAGCAAAAAGACAGAATCGCTACGATTCGGTCAAAAAGGCAACAATTCGTTATCAGCGAAGGTGCTGAGACTGTTCAAAAAACTGTTGCAAAACGTAAGTTAAAACCTATTACAGTATAATCTATAATCCGGCACTTCACTACACCGGCACGTCCAGTAATCTGGTGTTATTTTTTCCGCGTTTGTTTACTATTCTTGAAGAATACAGTTTATGTAGTTATAGTTTAGTTGAAAGATTATTTTACAGAAACAAAAAAACATTACAATATACATATATAAGCATACACAACTGTAATATGTATGTATCTATGTACCAATCTCTTTGTTAATAAACAATTAAAAGTTAAGTTTTTTAATTTAATACTGTTTACATATACATTTTCCATTAATCCGAATTTTCCAGTACTCCGGCACTCTTAGGTTTTTAATGGTGACGGATTAGTGAGATTGTACTGTACAAATAAGATACTGGGCGTCATAATTAGGTTTAAAAAATTTTATCTCTGGCTTAAGTTTTTTACACCTAATTATAATTTTATTAAATTTTTTTCCAGCTAAAAAAAAGTTGCAGGCGGTAGTGGTCGAAACCATAAAATTCAAATTGTTGGCGGAATTGCAAGAAGTCTCCGTGAAATTTGCAAACGATCGAAGTAACATCTCGTCTTGTGCCATAAAGGGAATCGTATCTGACATTATTGTGAAGGATACTTACACACAAGTTAACGCCAATTTGCAAGAGATCAGTGTCATTGATTTAAACCCCGATTCGCTACACAAATTGGTAAGACCATTGCGCTTTATAAATGATGGGAGAGCTACAATTTTCAGTATCATGGAAAATATTTGAAGTAATTAACCGTGTTCTGTCATTTTAGATCATTTCAGGCACTGAAGGTGTAGCCCTGAAGGCACAAATAGTAATAAACAACTTGGAAGGAGAATCCAAAAAACCTGATATGGAAATATCCGCCAAATTGGGTGGATTGAGGATTGTCTTCTTAAACTGTTTCGTCTCTAATATGTTGGTAAGTGATAAATTGCTTTTGTGTTTATAATTTTTTGTTATCTAGTGTCTATTTTTTCTTCATAAATTTTCTTCATAATTTTAGTTGCTCTGAAACAATTTTTCCTGAAAAATCTGCTTGCATTTCTGTCCAATAACAAGTTTCTGATTTTTAAATCTTGTTAAATTAATTCAAAAAGGCGCAGCAGCAGCAGGTTATTGAATCGAGAATATGCCTTTTTAACACACTGACTACTAGATTCAGTTGGCAACTGCCGTAAAAATTAGGTTAGAATGACAAATTGCAATTGAGCAATTTTTCTTGAAAACATTGCGAGCATTTCTGGACTTTGACAGTTCTTTGTTTTGCAGAACTTCCTGAATAGGTTCCAAGAAGCGCAGCGGCAGATAATCGAGGCATCACAAGCCGCCGCTAAGCAAGCCAGAGAAAATGTGAAAAATGCATACGATAAGGCTACAAAAATCTCTCTCGACATTAAACTCAAAGCTCCGGACATCGTAGTGCCGGTGGCCTGTAAAAGCTTCCAGGCTCTAATCCTGGACCTTGGTGTCTTATATCTTTCAAACACATTCTTAACTTTGGAAACAAAAAACGCCGAAGGTTTCTCCGCAGTAATCGACGAATTGAAAGTCAGTCTCTCTCAGTTCCAACTGTTGAGGGTCAAATTGGATCAGAAAGGTGAAAAAATCAAAAGTGAAGAATTGATAGCACCCATTAATATCGATATCATCATTAGACGCAATTTGTCCGCTTCTTGGTTTAATGCGGTACCAGACATCTACATATCGGGCAAAATTAAGATCATCAAGGTACTCCACAAATGAACTCTTTGAAATCTTTTTGTGACAATTTACTTTGCAGCTCCTCTTAAGTCAAGGTGACTACAAGATGATTATGGGTATCTTAAACGGGAACTTAGCTGAAGGACAAGTGGAGACGGTTGAAGTCAAACAATCAAAGCCCGCCGCTGTTAAGGGATTTGAAGAGCATGTGGTACACGTTGAAGTTGGATCTGTGTGCGAAAGACACATTCATATAGAGGTGAAGGTTAACGTGTTTTTGAAGTTTACCTTCAGCATGGACGAGCTAATCCTTAACTTGTACACTGGGAGCGATTCTGAGGTAGGAGGTGCCTCCATAAATTTTATTATTTCTTTCGTTATGTTCTATGAATTTTTTTAGGTTGAAGAAAATATATCGTCCCATTCCGAAGACACACACTTGGCAAAGTTTTCGATAGAAGGCCTGTCGATTAAAGGGAGAATCCTCAGTGATCAGTCCATCGTAACATCTGTGGTAATCGTGAATTGTCTCTTAGATGACATGCGGAAGGGACGGGGGGATAAATTAAACAGGCTTATAGAAAGGTCCCACACTAATCAAGAAGCTGGTGATAGTACCTTCTCGTCAACTGAATCAGTGGCCCCTCCAAAGAGTATGATCGACGTGACTTACCAGCAGAAGGAGAGTGATATGTTTGGTAAGTTTGTGTCATCAAAATATTATGAAAGTCTTGCAATAGAAAATGAAAAAAAAAACGAGAAAAAATTCAAAACAAATTTTACAGAAGCAGCATTTGCGGAGAGAGTTTCACGCGAAATTTTCAAAACATTCCCGATTTTTCCTCTATACGGTTTGTGGAGCTATTAGTTGACGAGCATGTTGGAAACATAGGCACCCTTATATTCTACGACAATTCCGTTGACTTGTAACTCAGAATTTCCAACTTATAAGTCTGAATATTCATATTTATAGTAGGATCCTATTTGATGCAAAGTAGAGCAAAAAATTGTCGGCCTTTTATCAAAGGAAAATCGTGTCATCATTTTTAGGAGGCGTAAGATAAACCATTTCAAATTTAAAATGAAATTGAATGTAAAATCTGAAATACCGCTGCATACGCACTGTATTCTGGTACGTCAAATACTAACCTGGCGAGCTTGATCGTAAAGCAGGGAACAATAAACAGTGGCGCGTACAGAGGTGAAATGTAGTACATATGTGGAATTTAAATAACGAATTGGATTTATAATAAATTACATTTAAAACAAATAGTTTATGAGAATAAAGGGATTTTTGTAGGAACAGGGTTCCAGACGTGAACTGATCTCTTCATCGCACCCCATTACGATTC